ATAAACAAAAACCCTCTTTTTAAAGTTTAATTTGGACATTTCTAGCACAGAACAGTTGAAGATGTGGTGTAGGATTCCTACTTCCCTGAATATGGTTAAGGCAGAACCTGACCTRCTCTTCTCCCACCAACTTCATTTCACTTTAGGTTATGTTGGCTTCAGATGGAAAGGAACCCAGGAAGGAGATTGTAGGTTTTGATGTTTCGGACAGTCCCACTCTTTTTTATTTTAATYTTTATCTTTTTAGTTGTAGATGGATACCTTTGTTTAATTAATTTATTTTTATGTGGTGCTGAGGATCGAACCCAGTGAGTCACACATGCCAGGCAAGCACTCTGTCACTGACCCACAACCCCAGTCCCAGACAGTTCCACTGTTAATGCTGTTATCCCAAACACATTTAATTGCAAATTATCACAAGAATTAAGGATCACTCTTTAATTTCTTAAAGACAAATACTGAAAAGTCAGAAACCTTCTCTAATCATACTTCCTTAATATTTTAATATTGTGTTAATGTATTAATATTATTGTGATATAATAATAATACAGATCATTAATCAACTATTTTCAAGCTATTTTTTAAATAACACATTACTTTTTTATTTTAAAAACCAGTGCTCAATCTAATTGTGAGTCATATCAAGGGCTGTTGAACTCTTTTAATCTGCTGTCAGCGATGAGTGAAGAGTAGTTTCATACTTGTCTCAGACAGATTGAAAGTCAATAGGCCACAAAGATTTTTAATTTGTTAACTATTGTAGGAACCTGAAAAAAAAAGTCACAGCTGGTTAATAGGTAAATCCAAAGATCAAATATACAAACCCATCAAGAAAGCCAAATAAGTTGGCTTCATAGATTAAAAAAAAAACAAAAAAACTAGCTTTTCCACAATGGGGAAAAGAAATGCATTGAACTTCTATGGTACAAAAATCATTTGCATTCTATCTGAATAGAGTTGTAAAATAGTTTAATGACAAAGACAAGAACTCCATAGAGTCAGATAACTTTRAAGTTTATGTGCTAGACAATACATAGTTTTTCTTTAAAGATACCATAATTTTTATAAATCTTTTTTGGTCCATTTAAAAATATTTTACATTTTATCTTTACATAACTAATGTTGAAAGGTAAATGTTAACTAAAGACATATACTTATTTAAATCTTACATTTTGTACCATAAATGACAGCATGCAGAAAGTACCTGCATTGGCACAAATCACTAAAAAGAAAAACCATTATTAAAATCCCAGTTCAATTTAACTTTATTGGTGACAGCTATAAAAAGTTTTTTTTTWAAGTGCTTAACTGAGCCTCCAAAAATAAGATTTGTCTTCTGTGGAAAAGGATTGAAGAAAAATATAGGTGCATTAGTTTTCAGATGCTATTTAACCTTGCCAATTAGAACCTTTAAAAGTATTTGAAACACTCATATGAAGGATTTAAAACAGATTGTATCAAGTCAGCTTGAACTGATTAATTACAATTGCTTATCAAATGTTCACTTTAGCAGTTTGTAATATAGATTTCAGAATACAGTTAGTAAAGGAAATCCAGGATAAGTCGGCTTAAATACACACCACTGAAATTTAAAGTTATTTTGGCACAATTGAGTTTTTCCTTAAAGTTGCCATTGATGGCACTGAAATACTGTCAGTCACATTTACAAGAAATAGTTCCTTAGCTGGGAATGTAGTGTGTGCGCGCGCGCGCACACACACACACACACACACACACACAAATAGTTCTTTGAAGTTATGTTTACTTCAGGGTGAAAGACAATACTTTTCAGCAACAGCCAGACAGTGCATAGTGCTGGTATTCTTAATAATTTTTTTTCCCCCAGAGTTCCCATAGTGAGAGCCTTTCAGACTGAGTTTTAAATTGAGCAAATGTTTTTATTGTGGGTAACTTGAAGTATATGAGAAAACTGAAGCTGGTCTGTTTCTTTTGTGCCTCACCTGGCCTTGTTAATAGATTACAGAATTCCACTTGTTAGTACCAGTGACACAGGAGAAATTTTTACTATTATGCTATTTGGTAATGATAAAGAAGACAGAAAAAGTCTTTTTATGGTAGTTAGGTCCTCAAAACAACTCTTCATGTTTGGTGATAAGGAGACACAAGTTGGCTGTTGAACAGAGGTACAATAGCTTGTTATCTACAGAGTTGATACTGCCTCCTAAATTCCCTGGCTGTGACAGGAACTCTTCTGAAGTGAAGGCTTGCAGAGCCAGTGATACTGGAGTACTTTCTTTCCCCATAATTAAGTTAGCCTTTCTCTTGCAGGAAAAAAAAAAAAATTCACATTTTTTTTTAAACAAAGGCTGTATTCTTTTTTCCTCTGTAGATTAAAAAAATGTTTAAAGAAATGGTGATTGCTGTTTGTGGAGAGTTCAGTGATAACTTTCAGTATACCAAGAGGGACAAAACTGAGTTAACTAGTCTTTTATGATGTGTGAAAATTAAGAAACAAGCATCCAGTGATTAAAGACTAGAATGAATCATTCTTTTCATTATAATATCTGTGTATAGGTACTTGTTATATTTGGTCTGTTTCTCAGTTATAAGAGTTCAATGTGTTGTTCATTATTCCAAGTGTTAACATTTTCAGTGCTGATAGGAGCTTGCAGAAATTTGGCAAGTAGAACGTGCTACCATGGATGGGGTGGGTAAAGGTCTCCATCCCTTAGTGTTCTGAACAGCAAGACCTTTTATGACTAAGTAAACATAATGTCCACGCAATTAGATTCATAGAGCTTGGTGTCGTGGGACAGATGTTAGGGAAATAGATGTAGTGTTCACTATATGTTCTTGTTTAGTAATTATGTTTCAGTAAGAGCTTCAGGCATTGAGTGGCACATTCCAAGAAAGTTGAGAAGCTAACATACCTATAGTAATGTTGCTTATGATTTTCTTCAAGCATACATAAATTAAAAAAAAAAAAACAATAAAATCAAATTTTGAAACAATTTTGCTTTGCTGGGCATGGTGGCACAAGCCTATAATTCCAGTGGCTTGGGAGACTCAGGCAGGAGGATTGCGAGTTCAGAGCCAGCCTCATCAAAAGTGAGGTGCTAAGCAACTCAGAAAGACTATGTCTCTAAATAAAATACAAAATAGGKCTAGGGATGTGGCTCAGTGGTCGAGTGCCCCTGAGTTCAATCCCTGGTAACCCCCCAGCCCCACCAAAGAATCTGGCTTTGGAAAAACTAAGAAAAAGTTCTTAAATCTTGATGTACTGTGTTTGCATTCTACTTTCTTAAGACTAAAAAGGGGCAAAATAAACAAAATGTTTGTAAGTCAAGTTTTAAAGGATACTAATATGTATTATGAATTTAAAATATATATTAAATCTAATTTAAATAATTTGTGACGAACTCATCTAGAACTAGTTTATCAAACTTTCTAATTAGGTAGGCCTCAGTAGAAAATTTTAACTTCTTAATACTTTTGTGGAGTTGGTTGGAAAATCAACAGTCTTAAAACTATTTAAGTTGTTGAACCCAGTAATTCTACTTTAAAATAATACCCAAGAGTATTTTTWAATTTGACATTATAAATGTAAATGAACATTTGAGAAGCTAACATATCTATAGTAATTGTTGCTTACAATTTTCTTTAAGCATGTACAGATTAAAAAAACAATAAAATCAAATGTAAATGAACATTTACATTTATAAATCTCCAATTCCTTGATTTTTTGTTTTATTTTATTGGTACGAGGGATAGAACTCTGGGTTACTCAACCACTGAGCCACATTCCCAACCCTATTTTGAATTTTATTTAGAGACAGGGTCTCACTGAGTTGCTTACCGCCTCACAGTTGCTGGAGCTGGCTTTGAACTTGCAATTCTCCTGTCTCAGCCTCCCAAGCCTCTGGGATTACAGGCGTGTACCACTGTGCCCAGCTCCAAATCCTTGATTTTTAATTCTTTTAATTTTAGACAAGTTGTTTTATGGTGATTTTAAAGTTAAAGAAATAGAAAACTAACCATCTGCTATATTTTTACAACCCAGTGTAAAAAAATGTCAGTATGCTCCAGGGGGAAGCTTTAACAACACTCAAGAAAATTCTGAAGAAAGTCAGTTCAGTGGATTAAAGCAATCCATGAAGCAGCTCTGTAGATTRAGCTAATAAAAGGGAAAGGGGTGCATTCCATATAACCCTGGAATGCAAATTGTAAAAATATGTAGTCAGTAATATATACATCTTCATACAAAAGAATCATAAGTCAGATATAAATATTAGATTTGAGCTTTTATATTTTATTATTTTGTGGGAAACTGTTAACATTCAAGAAGAAATTAGAAATGAAATTTTTGAGATTCTGGACTAATTTCTAGTGACTGAAATAAATTCTCATAGGCAGAAAGGAAGTCAGTAAATAAAGTTGCTGAAATGCTCAGTGCACTATAACTTCTCAAAGCATCATTTTGGTAAATTTGTAATTTATTTCTTTATAAATTGGCTCTAGCACTTAAGTTGATCAGGTTGTATTCACATTCTAATTGTTAACCGTTAGAACAATGTGAAATTTATATTTTTTAAGAAGTTCTAAAAGGAAGAATCCAAACAAGTCAATATTCCTTTTATTTTAATGTACAATTGAATTAATTTTATTAGGTCTTAGGTTTACCTTATTTGAAGAATTAGTACTTCTTTGATCATTTGAAAACCATTTCAGTGGCTCTTAAATAATTCAGTTCATTCAATCTGTGCTCTCTTAATAATACAAAAAACAAAAAAACTCATGGAAAGTTAGCATTATTTGTGTGTGAATTTTCCAATTGTATTTCAGACTTTAAGAAAAAAAGGCCTTAATGGTTGTGAGAGCCCTGATGCTGACGATTACTTTGAGCACAGTCCACTCTCGGAGGACAGATTCAGCAAACTAAATGAAGATAGTGATTTTATTTTCAAACGAGGCCCTGTAAGTACTTTCATTTTACCTCTACTTTTTATTTGTTGATCCTTTTTGTTAACTTCATTATTTAGGCTCTGAACAAGAAGGAACACAGAGGGTGCGACAGCCCAGACCCTGATACTTCATATGTGCTAACTCCACATACAGAAGAAAAATATAAAAAAATTAATGAGGAATTTGATAATATGATGCGGAATCATAAAATCGCAGTGAGTACTAAAGTATGGTTTGTGCTTATCTTATGCATGAAGAGATTGATCCGACATCTTAGTTATTTTTACAGTGAGTTATGATAATAAATAGAAGGGGAAAAGAAGGTATTTTATTAACTTTTTTGCTCTATATAAATTTAAAATTGCTGAAATCTTATAATAGTTTATGTTCAGCATCTTTAATGTAGAAGTGAGGACATTCTAATTCAGGCTTTGCTGCTTACAAGCCCTTATATCTTTAGATGGGGCACCTAAACATCCTGAATTCTACTTTCTTAATCTATACAGTGAGTGGCTTTGCTCATAATTTTAAGATCCCTTCCACTTCTAAAATACCATGTTTTTTAATAAAGGAAATGAATAAGACTTTCTTCTCTTTCCTATGAGTTAAAACATATATATATGTTTTATATATAAGACATAAGACATGTGGGATTAAATAAATCTTGAGAATGCCAAATATTTCTAAATTGTTTCATATAGTTGCTTTAACATTAGTAGAGCTGAGTTTACTCTGGCATTTTGTAAAAGTCTCAGAAGCACTTGGCATTGATACCTTCAAATTCTTGTCATAACTGATTCTGGTAATAAGGAAGAAAGGCTTGGATTAATTTTAAGTTAAGGAAGCAATGTTCATAAACTGGTTGTAAAATAAATAGTCACTTTAAATTTTTTTCTGTGCTCATATAACTAACCATAGTGAAACAGTACTTTTTTGAGCTCATACTCCTGGACTTAATAGATTTTCAGAGTTCTTCTCACTGAAAGTTCCATAGTGAGAGCTGCTTAAGATTGTTATTTTGGATCTGATTTTCTAATTCTGTATATGAAAGTATAGCCTTCATAAGACAAATGGTTCCAATGCTGATATTTATTTCATTGTCAGAGCTAATTCTCTTAAAACAATGCCCTAAAGTGTACCTTATAGATAATTTTTCTTCAAAGTAGTCCTATAAGAATAAGCTCAAGAAGAATAACTTTGAGGAGGTATGCCATTAGTCTTAAAACAACACCAAAGAAAAACCCTTCTGATCTCACAGGGATGATGATATTCTTGCAGTTAGCATTAAACTGAAAATTGTTCTATTTTTGAAAAATATTTCTCGTTGTTTTATATTTGTTGATGAATTATTATAATTTTCCCACCTGAAATTATTGAATAGAGTACATAAGCTATTTGTAGTCTTCCAACTTTGAATTAGCAGTGTTACTTTATTATGCAAATCACTGTTTTAAAATGAAAGGAGAGGAAACTGCCCCCCCCCACACTTTAAATTATAAAGAGGACTTATTTATTGTGGTCAACAATATATTGTAAATGGTTTATGGAAAAAATGGAAGAGGAAAATAGAAAATATCCTTTTAAAGGGGTATGAAATAATTTGGTGGAATAGAAGATGGCATTTTTTTTTATTGGTTGTTCACAACATTACAAAGCTCTTGACATAGAAGATGGCATTTTTAATATTGTAATTTAATYTTCATACAATTTAAGGAAAATACCAGAAAACTCATTAATATCTTATCAGTAATTAATTTTGTTATTTAGGTTGTTTCTATGCATTTTCATTACACTCAGATTTCATTGTGTTATAATTATTTGTTTTTTCTTTAATTTTGCCCATTATGAATGTCCATCAGTCAAATCAGATTGGGGCCTCATTATTATGTCCCGTTGCTGTATTAAGTTAATAATTATGTGTACACTCTTGCTCCCTTTTGATATATTTGGGATCTCTCAATAGGAATGTAATGATATTAAACTGGTTTGCATCAAAGTGATAATTAATGCTTACTTGGTAATGACAGTGATAAATTTTATAATGTCTAAATTCAGCAGTAATACTTTAATATCAGGTTTTGACTTCTAATTTTCATCTCTATGAATATTTGAAATATAGAATATATACATTGTAGTATACATTAAATATAAAATTGAAAATGTTCATGTCAAACATATTCACATTCAAATATAATTCTAAAGAAGACAGCTTTAAATCTGCAAACTGATTAAGACTGTTCCCATTCTCCATTTGTAATAATTTGAGTTACCTTGTCAAATTAAAGTTCATAAGTTACTTAATGTAGGTGAAAATAAAACTAACAGTTTTCTCTTTCTTGTTTTTTATTTACAGCCTGGTTTGCCACCTCAGAACTTCTCAATGTCTGTCACAGTCCCTGTGACCAGTCCTAATGCTTTATCCTACTCTAATCCAGGGAGTTCACTTGTGTCGCCATCTTTGGCAGCCAGCTCAACATTAGCAGATTCAAGCATGCTATCTCCACCTCCAGCTACATTACATAGAAATGTATCCCCAGGAGCTCCTCAGAGACCACCAAGTACTGGCAATGCAAGTATGTAGTGACATCTGTACTGCTAGTTCTTTAACAAAGAAGATAAAAAAACTAGTTGCTAACATAGTAAGTTTCTTATTCTGTTAGTCTTAATTTTATTGTCTGAATGAGCAGGAGTCACTGCTACATAACTGAATGGCTACCATGGGACTAATCTTCTATGAGACTATTTTGGCAGGCAAAGTAGAACAACATAGAGAACCTACCATGTATCACAGTAGGTTCCTTATCATGAGAATATTTAACAGGCAGAACATTTAATTAGTATATCATGAATAGAGATTTGAAGTTGATTTTGTGTGAGCCATCCTGCTAGAAATGTGGAAATAAACTCATCTTATGAGAGTTAGTGGATTTTTTTTTTTTTGGCGTTTCTTTCTGCCTGATTTGGTTAAGTAAGCAGAAATTTGCAGTGTATTTGCTGCATTAGCCTGTGAGATTCAGTATTTCCTTTCTCTTAAATCCTAGATTTGGTGATATTTAATATGTACTATCTCCATTCTTATTTATATATATCATTTGGTATTAATAACACAGAAAAGCAAAACCATTCTAGAGCTTACTAGGTAAATTCCTGTGTGTGGGTGTACACACACATACACACACACACACACACACACACACACACACCATGTATAGTAATGTATATTACATGTATAGTTTACACATATATATGTGTGTGTGTGATACAGAATATATCAAATCACACATTAATGTGAACTTCAGACTGGGCTAGTTTTTATTTTGATGTTTTTTAGGAGTGGAGTGAAGGTTAACCTCTGTTCAGTTCATACTCAAATAAGGAGAGTTCATTTATATTCATTCTCTGCCCTTCTCACCTCTTCATAATGTTGTTAGGTGGGATGTTGAGCACTACAGACCTCACAGTGCCAAATGGAGCTGGAAGCAGCCCAGTGGGTGAGTGAATTCCTACTGTTTAATTTTGTAGGCATCTGTCTCGTTTGAAATATAAGGAATATTTTCCCTGAAACTAGGCCCCTCTAYCATCTGAGGGATAATTTAACTAATACTTAACATTTTCTTGGAATATTCCTTTTATTGATCTTAAATTCAGTTACTCTTTATTCAGTAAATATTTATTGAGTGCTTCCTCCATAGCAGATATTGGGTTTTTACTAAAGACTAGATGACCTTACTGTACTATGATGATTTTGAGTCCTTTGGGTATAAACCAAGGAGTAGGATAATTGAGTCAGATGGTGGTTCCATTCCAAGTTTTCTAAGAAATCTCCATACTGCTTTCCAGAGTGGTTGTACCAATTTGCAGTCCCACTAGCAATGTATGAGTCTATCTTTTCCCCCACATCCTCGCCAACATTTATTGTTACTTGTATTCTTGATAATTGCCATTCTGACTGGAGTGAGATGGAATCTCAGTGTAGTTTTGATTTACATTTTTCTGATTGTTAGAGATGTTGAACTTTTTTCATGTTTTTTGTCTGTTCATGTATCTTCTTTTGTGAAGTGCCTGTTTAGTTCCTTAGTCCATTTATTGATTAGTTATTTGGGGGTTTTTGGTGTTAAGTTTTTGAGATCTATGTATATTCTGAAGATTAAGGCTCTATCTGAGGTGCTGGTGGTAAAAGATTTTCTCCCATTCTACAAGCTCTTTATTCATGTTTTGATGGTTCCCTTTGCTGTGAAGAAGCTTTTTAAAAAGTTTGATACCATCCCATTTGTTGATTCTTGATTTTACTTGTTGCTGGGCATGGTGGTGCACCCCTGTAATCCCAGTGGGTTGGCCCTAAGCAAATAAGTGAGACCCTGTCTCTAAGTAAAATACTAAAAAGGGCTAGGGATATGGCTCAGTGGTTAAGTGCCCCTGGGTTCAATCCCCAGTCCCGTCCCCCCCGCCAAAAAAATTACTTCTTGCAYTTTAGGAGTCTTATTGAGGAAGTTGGTTCCTGAGCTGACATGCTGGAGAGTTGGGCCTACTTTTTCTTCTTGTAGGCACAGGGTCTCTAGTCTAATGCCTAGGTCCTTGATCCACTTTGAGTTGAGTTTTGTGCAAGGGGGGAGGTATGGGTTCAATTTCATTCTATTACATATGGATTTTGAATGGATAAAGAAAATGTGATGTACACACATACAAACACACACACACACACACAATGGAATATTAGTCATAAATAATGAATTTATGGCATTTGCCAGTAAATGGATGAAACTGGAGAATATCATGCTAAATGAAATAAGCCAGTCCCAAAAAATCAAAGGCAGAATGTTCTCTCTGATATGTGGATGCTAACCCACAAGAAGGAAGGGGAAGAATAGAAGCTTGTTGGGTTAGACAAAGGGGAACAAAGGGAAGGGATGGGGCATGAGAATAGGAAAGACAGWAGGATAAATTGGACATAATCTTCCTGTCCTTACATGAATACACAACCAGTGTAATGCCACATCATGTACAGCCACAATAATGGGATCCTAACTGGAACAAATTGTATTTATTCTATGCATGTATAGTATGTCCAAATACACTTTACTGTCATTTATATCTAGAAAGAACAAATTAAAAWCAAAACAGATTAGATTGTGACATCTACMTTGAGATAGTTTCTTAAGAAGAAGTTTTCAATATCTTCTGTCCTCACCAAAGTTAGACTGTTAGTGACCTGCTTTTTTCTTACAACAGATTAAAATGGTTTTAGAAAGATTGGAATGCAAAGAAATGGTGGGCCTACTTACAGAGATGGAAGGAGAACTGAGAGATCTGTCTCAAGGATTTGCTTTGGTGGTCACAKGTAGACCATTGACCTTTAGCATAGTTGCAGCTGAATAGATTATTTTACTTGTGGGGCTCCACCTAAGATCACTAGCAATTTAAACACATGTCATAAATGTGTCTGCCCACTCCTGACATGCTGATAAAAATACATTATGATATTAATATCATAAAAACATAGTATATATGTCAAAAAGTTACAAGAATAAGTGTAGCCCTTTGGATTTTCTTTATACTAAGTCTTCTTGTTAATATGTGCTAGTGACATTTGTCATTGTTATCTGAAAGCAAGGTAGGAATTTACTCCCTCCATAGATATTATGTGTCCTGGAAACATCTGAAAACAGATCACTTATAGGAAATACTGTCAAATATTTATTCCACAAGAATATGAGGAGCCTCTACCTTAAGAAAATTAGGTGAGTGACTAAATTACTTTTAAAATAAGAGAGAAATAAACACACATTATTGAGTGAGACAAGTTACAAAATGTATAATGAYTTTAATGTAGGAATTAATGCCTAATTATACCTGTACTGTTTTAAATTTGTCTTAATGGAATTTAAACAGATAAAACCTGTTGTAGGTCTTATCTCTTATATGAGAACATACATGAAAGTATAATCCATTATACATTAAGACTGCAATGTGGCTTTTTTCTTTTGGACACAATTTTTATTGTTTGTATCCCATATCTCTTTTGTGTACATTTTCCCTTATGACTCTCCCCACAGCAAAACTATAAGTTCAGTGCCTACCAAAATTGGTAGAACCTAATATCTTCCTCCTTGTAGCAGTATCTGATATTTGCACCGTCCCACTTCTTCAATTCATTTGTGGTAGTTTACTGTTAGGAGCCCCAAAAATGCCTGAGAAGGCAAATTAGCTATAGAAGAATAAAGCCACTATCCCAGGCCTTATTATTTCTCTTGGCACATAAGCAAAACTAACTAGGCACACTCAGAAGCATAAAACATAAATGAAAACCTGTAGGGAAAAAGAACAGTAGAATCAGGCTCCTGTTGGAGTTATTAGGCGAAGATAAAGAAAATATTGAGAATTTAGACAGAGAGCTAGGAACTTATTTTTAAAAATGGAAATTTTAGAACAAAAAATACCATGTTTTAAGAACTGAACAGACCAGTCTTGTAACATATGGAACAAAGCAAATAGTAGAGTTAATAAACTAAAAGAAAAAACAGGAAATAATTAGAATTGTTGAGACATGAAAAGATGAAAAATYGAGGAGAATAAGACTGAGAGGATACAATGAAAAAGCCCAATATACATTAAGTTGTAGTTCTAGGAAGTGAAAAGCCAGAGAAACTTGGGCAAAAGTAGTATTTGAAATAGTGATTAGTATTATCCAAAACCAGTCTTCCCCCCGCTAAAAAAAACTCAGATTCAGAAAGTTCTACAGAATTCACATGCAATACAAATGATATACTTATGAGAAATTTTAGARTAGAAATTTGGGTATGTACCTCAGTGGGAGAGTGTTGCACGAATTCTCTGAATGAGAAAGATAAAGTCGCTTTATCTATCTATCTACTTATTTATTCCTTTATTTACTTTTATTTTTATGTGGTGCTGAGGATCGAACCCAGGGCCTCGCACATGCTAGGCGAATGCTCTATAGCTGAGCCACAATCCCAGCCSGTAATGTTGCTTCTTTAGGGCTACTTGCCAGGAGAGGTGAAGAGGGAGACGATAGTATTCAAGTAGGATTCCATGAGCATTGTATGTTTTCTATTACAAGTTTCTAATGGATAGAGATTCGTGTTGTCCATCATATAGGACTTCTCATCAAATTAAGTGAATGGGTCATCAATTATTTCAAAACCTGTGGTCTTTTTTTTAGTTCCAGAAACCTCAAGCAATTCTATATACGAATAATACAATTTGAAAACTTTAAAAATACGTTTTTGCTGATTTGTTGAATAATCTGATGCATGTTTGTAAAATTTTATGGAATGTTCATCACATATGATAAAATCAAGTTTTGCACGTTGCTGTGTAGAATTTTTTCAGAATGCTTCGAAGTTTTGCTTGTCAATTAATGTATTCACAGCAAAACATTAATGACATTACTGTCTAGAGTTTAGCCCTGAATGAGTAGTATTAAGGACACAGAATATTTTCCAGCCACTTGAATATGCATTATTTAAGCTGACATGAATATTTACATTCTGAAATATGAGYCAGATTGATAATTGGATAACCTACCTAACATCTGGAAACTATAATTGAAATTAGATCTGTTGGGGCTGGGTTTGTGGCTTAGTGGTAGAGCACTTGCCTAGCATGTGTGAGGCATTGGGTTTAATTAATCCTTAGCACCACATATAAATAAATGAATAAAATAAAGGTCCATCAACAACTAAAAAATATATTTAAAAAAAGAAAATAGATCTGTTAAGTTTCTGGAGCATAGGTATGCAGCTTGCTCAAGAGCATTTTTTTTTTCACATTTTAGTAAATTACCATGATAACTTAAAACACATTTTAACAACAATCACATTAAATTAGGCTTATAGTAGTGTCAATTATAGTAGACACTTTAATTCCTAAATTTATAAGTTGTAGCAAGATGTGTTATTTATTGAAAGTATCTGCTGCACAAGTCTATCTCAACAGTATATTCATTTTTTTCATAAAATTGGAGGTAAGAAGGCATATAAGTTAGTATACCACTCTACAAAATAACAAGTAGTACATATGAAATTATCTTAGCTTTAGCCTGGCAAGTTACCAAAAACTTACATCATCTTGCAGTCATTATCTGCTGCAGACTCCTGACTTCACACTTAGATCCCCTTTCCTTCTTACAACTCAATTCTTATGAGTTACTATGGTACCATATAAAAAACATCATAGCCAGGTGTGGTAGCAGGAGGATCCCAAGTGTAAGACCAGCCTGGGCAATTTGGCAAGACACTGTCTCAAAATTCTTAAAATTTGAGGAAAAAAAGCTCTGCGGATACATCTCAGAGGCAAAAGTCTCCCAGGTTTAAAACCCTCCAAAAGCATGGAAAATAGTATTCATGCTTCTTGATGATATRTTCTTTTAAATTCTGTATTTACATCATATAATGTCTTTGAGAGGAAATACTGCTTTTATTCTTCATATATTCTAGATATCAGATACAGAAAATATTCATGCCATTATATATTAAGAGAAACTGTTAATTCTTGTATTACTGTGCAATACCAGTTCTATTAAAACGTCTCATTTTGAATAAAATTATTTGAGAAACATTTATGTTCTCCAGATGTCTGACTTAGCAGTTACTTCTGCCCAACTCAGCTTTCTGAAGGATGCAGGAAATTGCTCTGTGGGTTGTGGAAAAGAGATTCAGCCCAGATTTTATACAAACCCTTTCAAGATAATGGAAACAATTCATGAAGTAGGCTCATAGGGTTGACTGAAATACCAGTTCTCACAGAAAAATTAAATCAGAYATATGAATTAAAACTTGTAGGTCACTTTGTAAGAAGTTTCAGAAAAAACAAAAGGAATTAGGTGAAAAGGAGGAAAAGAACTAAATAACATCTGGAACCCTGAAATTCGGAATGAATGACACCTGCTAGAGAGAAGCAACCGTTCCTAGGTGCCCTACTTAGCATTTCTTTTCTTTGCCCCCAGGCTTTCAGAATTAAAGCATGAAATATAGTGATTAGGATTCAACAAAGTTGATTATATCACATTAGCAAAATGTTAAATTTTTAATTCTCAAATAACTCACCTAAAAAGTGTATCTTTTTCAAACTAAATATAAGAAGAGCCAGGTGTGGTGGCRTCCRGCCTCAACAACTTATCGAGGCTCTAAGCAACTTAGTGAGACCCTGTCTCAAGTTAAAAAATAAAAAGGGCTTGGGTGGTAAAGCACTCCTGGGTTTAATTTCCAATATCCCCTGCCCCCCAAAAAAGTACATTAAAGCCTTCATTTTCTTCAGAAAGTTATATTTATAAACTCTCTTAATCCATCTCTTTCTAGTAATAGTTTTCCAAATTTTAGAATTCGTATGTCTGTTTATCAGTTGACCTCTTTATTATTATTGTCTTTGAAAGTGCTTTATAATCTGCCAAGTACAGTATATTTTGATTTTTTTTTTTTTTTTTTGGTACCAAGGATTGAACCCAGAGGCATTTAACCACTAAGCCACATCTCCAGCCCATTTTATTTTTTATTTTGAGRGAGGGTCTCACTAAGTTGCTTAAGGTCTTGCTAAGTTGTTGAGGCTAGCCTTGAATTTATGATTCTCCTGCCTTAGCCTCTTAAGCCACTGGGATTATATGCATGTGCCACCCCACATGGTTTACAGTATGAATTTTAAGTGGTTTGTTTGCTTCTTTGTTTATTCATTTGTTTATTTATTCCAGGGATTGAACCCAGGGTACTTAACCACTAACCACCCTTTTTTAATATTTTATTTAGAGATAGGGTCTCACTGAGTTGTTACATACTTCACTAATCTCCTGAGGCTGCCTTTGAACTTTTGATCCTTCTGCCTCAGCCTCCCGAGTTGCTGGGATTTCAGGTGTGCACCATTGCACATGACTTAAGTGGTTTTAAATTATCGTGCTTCTTTTCTATTTAAGAAACATCGGGAGAATCAAAATTATCTAGTATCATTTCATTTCTCTAGAGTTCAATCTTCTCAGGATAGAGTATTAAGAAGACTTTTAGATCAGTGTTAAGTACAYAGCAGACATTCAGTTTTGGTTAGTCCTTCCATATATGTTAGTAAAAGAGGTGTGTGTGTAACATATCTATTATGTACTTATTTTTAGTGAATTTTCAAGTTTTCTCTTTTTCTTTATAATGGCTAGAAAGCAGTAGAACAAATATAGCTACCCTTTCCTTTTGATTGTCCCTGGAGCCATGGGTTTTCTAGGCTRTCTTACCTGCGATTGCTTACACCTATTCATTTATGCCTTGAGCCTATCTTTTTTTTTTTTCCACATTTATCCATTAGGCTTCCCTTCTGTTTTCTTCTCTCATTCTTCTGTCTTTTCAAACTACTCAGAGGTTAGTCCTACAAAGGCTTCCCTAATTATGCCTACATACTTGAGACCAGTGCATACTTCCTGTTTTCTTGTAAGTTTTATGTGGTTACCCTTAGTTGCATTACTTTTGCCCATATTTTAAGTATAAATTTGATATATTCATACCTCTGCAGTGTGTTCTTGCTAACTAGAGGAAAAGTTACTTGAAGACCATGAAGGCTTTTTTGTTTTGCTTCTTTTGCCCTCCCAACAGTACTTTACATACAATAGAGGTTGAACCATTTTTACATGGTTGCAGATATTGATAACATGTGAATTCTGAGCTCTACCCAGAGAGCTTAAATCTTCTTCAGCCCTTCAGAATTCTAGTTAAGAATTCTGAATATTTTGTTCTTGGTCAGCTCTGTAATACACACTAGGAATAGAATTGCCAATTATAAATTTATTTTGTACCGTGCTTTTAAGTTAACCTCTATGTGCCAAAATAGAAAAGGCTTACTCAGAATTTTTCAAATTACAATAATATTACCATATTTATAAATAAACTTCTCTTATTACTAAAAACAAATGCTGTATGTGGTAAACCTMTAGTTTTTACGTTTTGTTTTTTAAAATTGCTGGTCTTTAAAAAATTGAAACAAAATTAATTTTGTATGAACAGTYAACACTATTTTATGTCTAGTAATTCAGTTTTCATAAGATATTTTTACAAATTCATTGTATAATGTTTTCTATTCTTCACTGGTTTATTTGCAATAAACTTAGAAATCTAAATACCATATGATACATAGTTTCTTTTATAAAYGAACATTCATTACATGTTTTTATATACTTGTTTCTTAGCTGATGAATAATAGATAATTCTAATAGTATAGTATCAGTTGCAACTCATAGAAAGCTACCCTTAGGCTTAAATGGCATTGGTATCTGTTATTAACTTCTAAGTGGTACAAACTGCAAACATAGTTTAATTTTAAAGAGCTTTTACTTCCTTTCTTTGGTATTCTCTTTCCTTTATCAAGTTTTTTTCTCATTTTGTCTTTCTTCTAAATCTCAAAATGACTTAAGAATAATATGCTTCCTTGGAAATATTTTTTGGAATATTCCTGAACTCAGTCACTGTGGTGGGCAAGAATGTTTTATATTCATTGCCTTGGACCCAAGTCAGATGTCTTGTCATCCAGCCAATTTGTGGCAAGGGGATGAGGCTTAAGTTGTGGAGTCATCCCCACCCAATCCATAGACTACTACATACAGAAGGGACTAGAATATCTAGAATGTTTATGAAACCAAATACATTTATATCTCAATTGGTGACCAAAAGTTCTGTGTGTACAGAACATGTACCACAATGTACCTGTTTCCTTATTTCACCTAAGGGAGATTGACACTTCTATTAGGGAATGTTAAAAGGTAGGAATAAGATGATTAAAATTAGATAAACCATAATTATTTAGTACAGACATTAATGTAASCTGAAGAAACAGAACAGGGAAAAGTAGAGCTACTAAAAGAAGTTCTTGTTGGAAATGAAGCATTAAAGCTGAGTGCTAAGTAATCTGCAGTTAAGGAGTTGCCTGAAACCTAGTGTAGTACCTAGAACCTTATAGGGGTACTTTTGTGTCATAAGAATGAAAGCACAGTCATTTTTTAAACACTGTCTCCATTATTGTAATCCCCAATGTGAGATGACGTATTAGGAATGTGTGTTGTATTTTAAGTGCTTCTCATAGATGTGGCATTAGTGTTCAGTTTTATAATATAAGTGTTTGAGACTTTGGTTGACTAACTTGTTTACTTATTTTTAAAATATTCAAAGATACCTGGTTAGTTACCCKAGTGAGTTTTATTAAATCCATTTGCAACTCAGACTGGGGAAATGTGCTTTATATTTATGACAAAGTATTTTAATGACTCTTTTCACATTAATAAATTTTCCAGGGAATGGATTTCTAAACTCAAGAGCTTCTCCAAATATGATTGGAAATACTGGTGCAAATAGTTTAGGCAAAGTCATGCCTACAAAGTCTCCCCCTCCACCAGGTGGTGGCAATCTTGGAATGAATAGTCGGAAACCAGATCTTCGAGTTGTCATCCCACCTTCAAGCAAGGGCATGATGCCTCCACTGGTAAGTTGAACCTCTCTTCAGCTTTATTCTTTACAACACACATTTTATACATAGTCAGTCTGTATCTGCCTTTAGAATTTTCTGTATGTCTTTACAGCCCACAAAACTTTTTTGATATATATATTTGTATTCAAAATTAGTATTTGAAGAGACAATTCTATTTGAAATGCACAAAAATTACATTAAGGAAAAATAAGAAACAAATTTTTCTTAGTGTTTATTTGAAATTAAAGCTAAATATGGAGAAGTTATTATGTTAGTTCTAATTTTACCAGGCTAAAATCTTTGCTTAGAGATCTAATTCCCAAATTCATAAGTTAATTATGATTTATTTCTTCTCTGTACTTTGAATCTTTCAGTAATTTATTATATTCTTTTCTGAGAAAGAAACATTAAATTATTTGTTAGAAATTCTACATACCAGAGAGAACTATTACAGAATAGTTTATTCATACAAACTTTAGATGAGCTACTCTCCAAATAATTTTTTGCTTATTCCTTCTCAAATAACCTTTCTATTTAACTCTGTAAAGAATGCAATACCCCCGCYCCCAACTTCTTSACAGTGTCTTTAGAACTTTAGAGTTCTACTCTCATTTGCTTTTTCATCCCATGTCTGTGTTTGTAATGGAGCAAAAGAATATGTTTATCCCCCTTAGCTTCTTGTAGAAAAAAATTAGAAAACATATGCCAGGTTTAAAGCAATTTTTAGTGTAACAACTGCTTGAATATTAGCATACTAAGTAATGTGCCAAGTGTTCTTTACCAGGTGCAGCTGGTAAACATGCCTTTTATGTTTTTGCTAAGTGAAAGTGAGGCTATCAGGCTTAGATAATAATTCTATATTTGTTTTTGTAGATTACAAAACATTATATATGCATTCTCTCATCTGATTCTCAATTAGACTTTGTGAAAAAGGAAAGATGAGAAAACTGAGCTAAAAATGCCAGGACCTTTGAGATTTAGTCTTGTACTCTACCCAGGTCAAAAAACAAAGAAGTACTTTTTCATTTGGGTGTACAGAAAGCTGAAAGCTGTAACACTCCGAACTTTATAATGAAAAAACAAACAAACAAAAAACTTGAACGTACAGCAGATTCACAGTTTTCCTTGAATCCATTATAGTGCAAAGATTTCAGGGCAGTCAGCTGGCCTGAAGCTTAGGGAAAGACAGATGCTATGGGGAGAGAGAGGACATTGGGGCACTGGGCAGGTCACAATGACAGGAGTTAAACTAGGGTGGTTAGTGAATTACTAGAGACCAGGTGTGCACTGGCAGGGCTATTTGAAACATTTGGGTTCACAAAGTAGGGTGAATCTGTCTTGTCTTATAGTCTTTTCCATCATGAGCCCCATTAAATACTCCATATGAAAAATCAGGAATGTCCTGGAAAAGCCTCCCTTGAAGGAGAGAAGGGGGAGAGTGGCTACTATATTAGGAGCCAAAACATTTGTTTGAATCTTTCTATCCTTTTTCTTCCATGAAACAAAAACCTCTGTGAGGAAGTAAACAACAGTGTGACTCTTAGGGCACTGGAGAAATCCCATTGTATCTGGGGAAATAGAAAAGGAAAGCTATCTCAGTCTATGATGGAGGAGCAGGAAGACAGGTTAGGTGCACAGCAGTGCCATGAGAGTGGCTATATGACTGAGAAGGCCACAACCTGTAGCACATTAGAGAGGTGATAGCTTAAAACATAATAGGACAGTCAGGGTAATAAACTGGGTAAGCCAGGACCCACCTGCAGAGGGATTTGAGCCTGTGGTAGAAACACTTGAGAGTATTGATAGCAACAGTAAAGATCAAACACTGTTCAATTTCTAAGAAAATTAATTAATACCTATTACTACAGGCCCATTTGAAGGAATTGCATTGTCTATAAGTCAATAGGAATTATCTATACTGAAATTCAAAGAAAAATCAAAACAAAACTAAACACAGAAAAAGTATCCTAGAACTGTGGAATTTGTAATTGGAATTCCCCCTCAAAAAAAAGAACAGCAGGAATAATAACAAAGTAGGGTGAATGCTATCAATACCCACACATATACACATATATATTTAGATTGCTAAAAGCAAAAGGCAAGAAAAATCAAAGACAGCCAGAGAAAAGAGACCTATTATACACAGAACAAAGAAAAACTCTTAACCCAGAATTCTATACCTAGCAAAATCGTTTTACAAAAATACGATTAAAATACTGTTCTTAAACAAAAATCATGAGAATTTATTGCCAGCAAATCTACTCTACAAGAAATGTTAAAGTCCTTCTGTAGAAAGAATGTTATGTCAGCAAAAACTTGAATCTACACAAAGAAATGAAGAACAGTGGAAATGGAATAAGCAAAGATAAATCACTTTTCCCCTACTTCTTATATAAATCTTCTATTTTCAGTTTTAGATTTATAGAAAGATTATAAAGATAGTATAGAACATTTGCTCATACTGTGTCAAATTTCTTCTTAATTYATATTAGTATGGTACATTTAYTAAAACTAATGAACTAATATTGATATAGTATTATTATCTAATGTTTTTGAGGAACACTGGTTACATATTTTGTAGGATGTGTCTCAGTTGAGATTTGTCTGATGTTTTTATCATGATTAGACAGGGATTATTGGTTTTAGGAAAGAATGCCATGTAATTAAGGTGCCATTGTCATCACACTGTGTCCAGGGTGAATACTATGTACTGACTAATTGCTACTGTTAACTTGGTTACCTGGCTAATGTAAGTGTTTAACAAGTTTTCTGTTTTACTTCCTTGTTTTCCCCTTTCCATACTGTAGTTTTTGGAAGGAGATCACTATATGCAGCCCAGCTTAAGGAATGGGAATTAAGACTATCTACCTCCTTGAAAGAGGAGTATCTACATAAATTATTTGGGTTCTTAGGTATAGACTTATCTGATCTTTCTCATTTGTTTAAATACTTATTTATCTAAATATGACTTGACTCATAAACATTTGTTTTAAATTTTGGGTTATAATGAAATACCACTTTTTTTTTTTTTCCTAAACTGTTCTAGCTTTAACTTTTGGGAGCTGTTCACTTCTTTCCTTTGTCCCTTTGATATACGCTTATCCTTGTGGGATTTTTTGCTTGTTTTGTTTTGGTTTTGACAGCGGGTGGAGGGAGGGTAATTTTTACTTTCTGGAACTACTAGGCTCATCTCATGTATTTCCTGGGCTAGTCTTAAAGTCAGGCATTTCTCCAAGGAACCCTGGTTCATTTTACTGGACAATTATTATTAGTGTTTCCTTCTTTTTAATTGCTCTAAGAGGCAGCTGATTTTATAAAGTAAATATGTTGGCAGTATATTTTCTGTCTATAGCATATGTAAAAATAAAATATATAACAACAAAGGATGGGAGGGAGGAATTGGATATACACTGTTATAGGTCCTTATTCTACACATAACATACAAAATGTTATTTGAAGGTGAACTCTGATTAACTATGTATATTGTAAACCTTAGAGTATCTACAGAAAAAGAAATTTAAAGAAGTTAAATAAGAAGTAAATAGAGGAGAGTAAGTATAATTATGAAAAATCCTCTGATAGTTAAAGAACAGCACAAAATTTTAAAAAGGAAGATGGTAGATTTTAATCCAACCATTCAATGTGGTCAGAATACATCAAAGACAGACTGTCAGATTTGTTTTTTAAAAAAGGCAAGGCCAAACAATATATAAGAAACCCATTTTAAAGACATAAATGGATGGAGAAAAATATACTATGCAAATAATAACCAAAAGAAAGCTGAAGTAGTCATAGTGATTTCTGACAGTGTAGATTTACAACAACAAATATTGTCAGGGAAAGAGAAACATTACATAGTTCATTTTTCAAGAAATAACACCTCAGACCTCCAAAATATGTAAAGTGAAAACTGATAGAATCAAAACATGAAATGGAAAAATGCACAATGGCAGTTGTAGTCTTCAAAATTCTTCTCTCAGTATCACTCAGCCAGCATCGCTGAACATCACTCAGCCAGCCTGGCCTAAAACAGTGTTTTGTTTATAAAACACTCAACAGCAGTAGGACACATGCTTTTCTCATGTATATGTAAAACATTCACCAAGATAGATCATCCTGTGTCATAAAACCTACCTTAGCAATTTTGAAGAATTGAATTCATACCTATTATATTTTCTGGCTCTAATGAAATAAAACAGGAAACCAATAACAAAAAGACAATAGGAAAATATCCACATACTTAAAAAATATACTCCCCCTGCYCTGCTGTGCTGGGGATTGAACACTCGACCTTTTGCATGCTATGTAAGTACTCTGCCTGTTTGGAGCTATATCCTTGGCACCAGTTAATACACTTTTAAGTAACCTGCAGGCCACARGTAATCTCTAGGGAATTTTACAATTGTATATGCTGAATGAAAGTATAACATATCAAAATTTTGAGGATTAAATAGAGTAATACAGGCAGAAAATTTGTAGTGTTAAATGCATATGTTAGAAAAGAAGAAAGGTCCCAAGTCAGCAATCTAAGCTTTTAGCTTTAAGAATCTTGAGAAAGAAGAACAAACCTAATCCAAAGCAAGCTGAATGGAAAAAAAAAAATAGAGTGGAAATCAATAAAATTTAAGCCAAGAAAGCAGTAGAGGAAAGTAATCAAACCAAAAAATGGTAGTTTTTTTTTTTGTTTCTTTCAAAATTTCAATTGGTAAGTCTTAAGTGATGCTGATCAAAGGAAAAAAGACCTGGTTATCAATGTTGAGAATGAAAAAGGGTACCTCACCCCAAAGATACTAGTAGATAAGAAAATACTACAAACAACTGTGTTCTGATTAATTTGATAGTTTGGATTAAAAGGGCAAATTTCTTGAAAAATACAAACTATCAAGGAATTACTAAGTGCAACAGTAAAGAAATAGTTAACCTGAATGCTAAATATTTGTAAAGCAAYTGAAGTGCTAATTTTAAAGCCTTATAAAGGAGAAAATTTTCAAACCAATTCAGTTTTGCTAGCAAAT